GCTTTCTCATCAAGGCCTTGCCACCAGGCTCCTTCCCAGAAATACCTGTACACTTCCCATCCGTCTCTCACCCTGCCAGGCCACTGAACGCTCTTCCCGAGGTCACGGGATTCCTGCAGAATCATTCTCGATTATTCTGAACCGCCCCTCACCAAATAGGGCAATTTTGGTTTCCTGGAAACTGTACCAGACCTAGAACCGGGATCCAGGTGTCCATTCTTAGTTGTCTTGTGGCCAGATTCCGGGTCCACTGGCTCCCCCAACCCAGTCGTGCCCTTGACCTCCCTCTCCAAGAAGGGCCAGAGAGATGGTGCCCAGATGTCTGAGCCGCTCTGTGGACACGGTGCCCAGCCAGGAAGCAGAAGTCACAGGGGGCCTGAGGCCCCGTCCTGGGGCAGGTGCCCCAAGCTCAGAGCCCCAAGAACACAAAACACCCGCTATTCCGCGGCTGCTTTGTTGACACAGTGAAGAAAAAGTTATTCACTCAGGAAGCACTTGCTGGGTTCTGTGCCGAGTGCCGGGCACAGTGCAGGTGGACGGAGTCAACCATTTTTATTTCACTTCCTGATACGCACACGGTCTACCAACACGCTGTACCTCCGGCTGACTCCCAAGTGCAGAAGGACCGAAGGGAGACAGAGCCGGGCACGTCCCGATGTGCCCTCTCCTGCCGCGTGGCCGTTTCCCAGCCTAAGCAGTCAGAGGACCCAGAAAAACGGCACAAGTTCGAAAGCTGGGCCCTCCGTTATCTCTTAGACTGCCGCCGCCTTCTTTCTGCTCCGAGCATGTTGTGACTCCGGTGGAAAGCGTGGCCTCGGGGCCACGTGCAGCATGCTGGCCTTGTAACTTGCTCTGAGCCTCACGCTCAGCTCCCACGGGCACGGGGCCGCCAGAGTCTGCTCGTGGGGTGTCGTCGCGAGCATGGCTTGTCAACGGGCAGCCGGGTGTCCCCCACTGTGCGTGTCGTGTGTGTGTGTGTGTGTGTGTGTGTGTGTGTGTGTGTGTGTTCGGTATCCGCCCTGCTCCCAGATCGACTCCGCCGTCCCCTCGGACTTTACTTATAAAGCCAGAGCTCAAGGCAGTGACAGCAGAGCACTATGCCGGCCCTGGGGCCCTGTGTTAGTGCAAGGTCACAGGCATGTGAAGCCGGCCTGCAGGGAAGGTGTGGGAGGCCACCCTCGGCATCCGATATGCCGGGAGGCCTTCGATTTTCTCCTTCTGTCGTTTTTACCTTGTTTGAATGTTTAATTGTCAATAAAGTCAATATACCGTAGACATTTGAAACCAAGGTAATTAAGTACAGACGTCAAAGCCTTCTTCTCTTGTCGTCAGAGAAATTCCTGGGAGACCAGCGGTTCAGCTACGGACAGCCCATCACACTGACCTTCTGGGTCCCCCCCGGGGGCTCCCCACTCCCCGTGCGGCTGAGGCTGGAAGGGGCGGGCCTGGCCCTGACTCTACGACCCTCCAGCCTGTCGGGCCCCCGGGATGCTGGGCAGCCGGGGGAGGCCCAGCTCACGTTCCAGTAAGTGCCTTGCGGAGTCCTGGGAGGTGGGGTCGGGCATTCGGGGGGGTCCCTGAGGTCTGGGCACACTTGGATCCTCCTGTGGTCTGGGGCCTTCCCCGCTCTCCACCCCAAGCTGGGGGCTCCTTGGTACCACCTGCCCCCGGCCTCAGGTTCCCGTTTGTCCCCCACCCCTGCCAGGTTGCAGGAGACCTCTGAGGACGCGGCCCCTCCGCTGCCCCCCTTCCACTTCCAGCAGCTGCTCGCCAATCTGACGGCTCTGCGCATCCAGGCCGGCGGCCAGAGCGCAAGCCCTTCCGGTCAGTAATGATGGGGACGGCCCTCCTCACCCGCCGGGCCCCGAGGCACCCTCATGCCTAGCAGACACTTAGCATCCCCGTTTTGCCACAGAGACGTCTGAAGGTCAGAGAAGTAGGACACTGGCTGAAGGTCGTGGAACTGGTAAGGACTGGGAGGGTGGGTACTGAGGACAGAGGCAGGGGCTGAACG